ATATATATATATATATATATATATATATATATATATATATATATATAATTTTTTAAACAACAATAAAAATGTCCTTTCCAATCATTTTTATCAACCCAGTAAATGACTTCCTGGTGTGAGCAATTTTCTTGTACTGTATATTCAAATTTTGAACAGGAAACTGATGACCCCTGGTGGGAACAGATCCTGATCAAAGTTTGTCTGTGCAGTGCAGTTCTGATAAACCTAAGTCTTCTGTTTAAAATAAAATAAAAAATATATAGTGATGATTAATGTAAAAAACAATAAACACTGACGGTCTTTATAATTAAATTTATTAACCTGTGTCTTGGGCCACATATGGCAAACTGAATCACATTAGCTATCATTAGGAATAGTTTTCTGTAAATTCAGGTGTTTTCCCTAAAAATATTCTGCCTTTTCATTATAAATATAGCAAAATATACACACAACTTTGAATCACATTAGCTGCCTGTATAGGTCACACACACACACAAATATATAACACACTTTACAACTAAATAAAACACTTATGCTTCGCTAGTCTTATAAAACAGATTTACATCTAATTCTAAGGCTTTCAAGACTTTCACAGTCAGACATTGTGTGACATCAACGGATGCCGAGGATCTGTTTGCTTTTGAACTGGCACATCTTCTCCATTTCATTCAGTTTTTTGGCGCGCAGGTTGGCAGCCTGGAGTCTCCTCAAGATGAGCTCCTGTGACGTGTCGCTCTGCTGACCGTACAGCTGCAGGTTCTCTTTGCTTTCACTGGCGAAGTGGACCTTCTTCTTTCCAGGTGACAGATTCTCCAAGTCTACAGCAAACAGAGCAAAGAGTCAGATGACTGATGAGCAAAGAGCAGGCTGAGCGTCATCTAGATCAGGCAGTCTTTGCAGGGACGAGACGTTTTACAGCTCAAGATGGAGCCTCTAAAATGCAAACATTTTATTTTAATTAACGCAACACTGGTGTATAAAAACTTTATTTACATGATCACACAAATAAAATTGATTTCATCTGTTAAAACTCCACACAGACTAATTCACACATAAAACCGCAGCTGTCTCAGTGCCTGTCTCGATTCAGAAAGTCCAAATGTCCCCGTCGGATTCCCATACCTATGTCTGCGCCATAGATCTGTGCCAGGTCCTTCTGCTGCTGCAGACGGCTGTACTTCTTCAGCAAACTCTCTGCGCTGAAAGCACAGATAAGAATGAACAAGTGGTTGTGAATGTGCAGGAAAAACAGGGGGTCAAGTGAGAGATTGATCCGTTTCCTCTGAAAACTGTTTTACCGTGCAAGCTTCTCGTTGGCCAGTCGCTCACGAGCACACAGCTCCTGCTCTCGCCCTGCCGTAAAAAAATAAAAAAAAAAGGGGAGAAATTACTTTTTATTTTAGCAGTATTTTGCATTGCAGCATGTAAACACCAACAGTCGGCCAGGAGTTGTGGGAGTGGAAGTAGGCCAACAATCGATTCTGTAAGATGCAACGTGAACAAACCTGCTGTTCTGACTACACAGCTACACTCGGACGGTACCAGAGTAACCTAGTTTAAGATTACCATAAAACAGCAGAATTATGCTGCAGAATGCAGAATTACATTTAGGATTAAAACAAGAACTCTGAGGTTCCCAACCATGGTCCTTGAGGAACGCCATCCTGCATGTTTTAGTCGTTTCTCTGCACCAACGCACCCGATTCGGTGATTTTATTACTTCCTCAAGTTCTGCCAAAGCCTGGTAAGCACTCATTCATTCAAATCAGGTGTGTCAAAGCAGGGAAACAACTAAAACATGCAAGATGGTGTTCCTCAAGGACCAGTGTTGGGAACCATTGCATTTGAACAAATACAAAAAAAAGCTGTTTAGGTAAAAAAAAAATTTAAAAAAAAAGTTACAAATAACATTTTAAAGTTTTAGCAGTTTTTAATCCAGGCTGCAGGTCGGTGGTAAAATCTTGCTTCTGATAAAGTTGGGATGCTACACGTTTATTTAATGAAATACTAAATTTAAACTTTCAACCTTAAACTACGACAGATGGTTCAGAGTCGCTCACAAGTTCTCCTAACTGAAGTCTCAAAGTCTGAATGTTGTAAGGTTCTGGTCCAGTTCAGACTTCATTCAGGATTTCAGCAGCTGAGGAGTTACCTTCACCTTTGCTCTTCAGCATCAATGATTTCTAACAGAAAGTTATTATTTTTATTTTTTTTTTCAAGTACTCACTGTTTTAGGCTCATTATTGCTGGCAGCCAAAAGGTGAAAATGTTTTTCCTGTCTTATGCCATGAACAAGTTTCAGCAAAACTTTCAGGAAATAACTCAACTGATCTTAGAAAATATGAAAGCTGCTTTAATTCAAATCAGTTTTTGAAAAAACGTGTTGAAATATAGCGATAACCGTTTGAATCAACCCTGCCTGTTAGCAAAATATACTTGGAATCATTTAACATATTTCAATAAAATAAATCATTAGATGTGCATTTACAACTGATTAACTTTTGAAGTCACGCCAAATCAAGATGGTCGCCACAGCTAATTGAACTTAGCCAACATAAAACAGCTGCAACTCGATTTTACAAAAGTGAGCTTAAGTTTGAGGTGGTAGTAGCTGAGAGTCATCAACACAAGCTTTATGTAAAGTTGAACCAAAACAGCGACAAGTGTGGCTCAGTAAAAGCTGACATGCGACGTCTTACTCTCCAGTCTCTGCTCTCGGTCCTTCAGGGCCTGCTCTCTGTCCCGCAGCACCTGCTCTCTGAGTCTGAGCTCTGCACCTGGGGGAGACGGTTCGGGCGACTTGTGTGGGGGACAGTCAGAGTCCGGAGACCTCCTCTGGGCACGCACCTGTGCCCTCCTTTGCTCCTCGGCGACCATGTCGCTCAACAGGCTGCTCTGGAGGATGGACTCCACGGAAGGCCTCAGGTAGTCCTGTTATCAAAGAGCATCAATGTTCCGTCAGCACTAAAGCAGTTCCTGTAAACATCATGAACAGTTAAACATCTCGAACCTTCAGGTTGAGCATTTTGCTGAGCAGAGAGTTCAGTTCCTCAGAGTAGCGGTATGGGATCCTCCTGAACCTCCCCTCTCTGATCTTCTCTGCCAACTCTTTCTGGTTGTACGCAGTGAACGGAGGCCTGAACAAGGAACAAATCCAGGAGAAACCGTCAAACCTGCTGAGACAATCGGCTGAAATAAGGGAAATGTGTGGGAAACTTACGATAAAGCACAAAGTTCATAAAGCAAACATCCCAGGGACCAAATATCGGACTTTTCGTTGTACGACATCCTGTTGATTTGTTCCTGTAAGATGAGAGAAAAGTTGAGAAATGGTAGAAGATGTGTGGAGGTGTTTCTTCTCATGTTTAAAGGGTTTTCTGCTTTTTTTTTTTGCACGCCTAGCCGATTTATGAGTAGTCAGCGTGTTACTCGCAGCAGAATCAGGGAAGGTTTCTGACAAGAGTTTCCTCAGTCAGGAGAAATCAGCTGAAGTCTTGAAGCAGACGTTAGAATAGAGATTATTGTGAGAATTATTATTTTTTTAATCAACCTATATTTTCAAACTTTATTCTATTATCGGAGCATTCAGATCGAGGGAAAACAGTGTGCTAATACTTTTAGTAACTTTTCAAAATATTTAATTTACAAAAATGACACATTTAAAACATGCGAGGCCTCTTTAATCCCCTCAAAAACATTTTCTCTTTAAAATCTACTTCAGCGAACTCACTTAACTTTTATCTCCTTAGGCTCCCGTTAGCATTTAGCTACTGCTTTGCTCCTTTTAGCTAAGATTTTGTCAATTATAGCTTTTATGTTTTGGCTATAGTTTTGCTGATTTTATCTTTTAGCTATAGTTTTGTCTTTAGATCTTACCTAATAATATTAATATTTGGAAACAGTTTAGCTGATTTTAGGTTTCAGCTAGTTTTGTTGATTTTAGCTGATAGCTACTGGTACATTTCAGCAAATTATAGCTTTTAGCAGCCGTTTTGCTAGATTTAGAAATTAGCTACTGTTTTACTCATTTTTGGCTTTTCCCTTTTGCTCTGCTTGTTTAGCTTATGTTTTGCTTTTTTGTTTTACTTTTAGCTACTTTTTTCCGAATTTGGGCTCTTGGCTAAAGTTTTGCTGATTGTAGCCTTTAGCTACAATTTAGCAAACTTTAGTTTTCAGTTTCTGCTCTGCTAGTTTGAGGTTTTGGCTACATTTTTACCAATTTGTTTTGTGCTTTTTGGTACTCTTACTAAGTTTAGCTTTTAGCTACTGTTCTGCTGCTTTGAGCTGTTCACAGTTTAGCTTTATTTGGCTCATATTCTTGTGTTCGGTGTGTTTAGCTTTTATTTAGTTTCAGCTCAGAGGGTGTAAATTAAACTTTAGGTTGTTTTCTGTTGGAAAGCAGTCGTGTTGCACAAACCCAGTCTGATGGAAAAGTGATGAATATTCATAATTCATAAACAAAACCCGACCTGAACAACAAATCAGAATTATTCCCTTAATCAAGATGCCGGGTGCATCGGGGCACCTACAGGAGACATGTAGTACGGCGTCCCAACAAACGTCTTTGCAAAGCTGGTGTCGTGGTTCAGAATCCGGGCCAGGCCGAAGTCTCCGAGCTTCACGTTCTGCTTGACGTCGAGGAAGATGTTGGCCGGTTTCAGGTCCCGGTGAAGGACCGTGGCCCTGCCGTCGCTTCGCCTGTGACACTCCTTCAGGGCCAAGGTGAGCTGCGCCATCACCCGCAGGATGAACCGCTCCTCCAAATAACGCCTGCAGGGATTCAAACCAGTGACCCTGGGAGCAGAAACCCGTTCACTCACAGAACCGGAGCACGGTTACCTCTCCTTGATGCACCGGTTGATGAGGCAGGACAGGTCCCCTCCTTCACAGAACTCCATGACGATGTAGAGCGTGGCGTTGGTGCGGTCTATGATGCGGTCGTAGTACCTCACAATGTTCGGGTGTTTGAGCTCCCTCAGCAGGTTGACCTCTGACACCAGCATCTGCTTCTCGCTCTCCGCCATGGTACCATAGTCCAGTTCCTTCCACACCAGAATCTACACAACAGAAGCACTTCAGCTGAAAATTTATTAACAAGACTTGAGTTTTGTTCTGAAGTTTTGTTATCTCCACTCTGATTTACATGTGGATTTAATTTATTCTGAAAAGGCCAGAAAATGCATAAATTACTGGACGAGATTATCTGATATATATATGATATATCATAAGCAGATATGATGATTATGATATATCATATATATCAGATAATCTGCATATAATATTTAGGAAATGACAGAGACTCACAACAAATGAACAACATTATTTTCTGTGGCTATTTAGTGACTTTAAGAAGTAAAATGTTATAAATCTTTTTAAGTATTTTCTTTAATAAGGTTTGAATTTACTATGTTGGTATCTGTATCTCAGTCTTCAAGCAAATGTACCTTAATCTGCAGGTATTTGTACTTTAATCTAGGTATTTGTATCTTAATCTGCAGGTACTTGTACATTAATCTGTAGGTATTTGTACCTTAATCTCTTGGAATTTGTACCCTAAACAGCAGGTATTTGTACCTTAATCTGTAAGTATGTGTTTCTTAATCTGCAGGCTTTTGTGCACTAATCTGCATGTATTTGTACCTTAACCTGTAGATAATTGTACCTTAATTTGCAGAAATTTGTACCTTAAACTGCAGGTATTTGTATCTTAATCTGTAAGTATGTATACCTTGATCTGCAGGTATTTGTACCATAATCTGCAGGTATTTGTACCTTAAACTGCAGGTATTTGTATCTTAATCTGTAAGTATGTATACCTTAATCTGCAGGTATTTGTACCATAACCTGCAGGTATTTGTATCTCTGCATGTTTTTGTACCTTGATCTACAGGTATATGTAATTTAATCTGCAGCTATTTGTACCTAAATTCTCAGATATTTGTACTTACTTTGTCGTCACTTTTTCTTCTTATTTTCTGGCATCGTCCATAGGAGCCGGATCCTATGGTGTACAACACCTCGTAGTCCTCAACACGAGACGGCATCTTCCGTTAACGAAATTAACGACAGTTCGGAGATTCAGGTGTGGTTTAACATGTAACTAAACCAGCGACTCGAATATCCATCCAGATTTTTGACAAAGAAAATGTCGATCTGAATGATTAAACTGATTTTTTTTTTTAAGCCAAAATATTTGCATTCCGCGTCACTTGCTCGCTTCAGTCGCTTGTTGTTGTTGCTTCGGAAACAGGAAGTGTATTGACTATCGGTTTAAATTGGTGCCGAAACGCCTGATTGTGATTGGCTGACGCTCGCCGTATGCTAACTCCTGATTGGTCAATGGGAAGAAACAAGCCCTGAGGTTGCTAAGAGCCCGAGAACCGCGAGAGTATCGCGGGAAGGTGACATTTGTTATACTGTCCACAAGGTGGAGCCAAAAACACACGGTAATGCAGGTTTAAAAATAATATTCATTCATTCAAGCTTTATTTATACAAGCTAGCCTCATTGAGCCACGGGGACTCATTTATATACGGCTATGTATATGGCTACACACGTAATAAAGCTAGCAAAATTATGGTTTATTGGAGAAAATTGACTTTTAATATGCTTTAATGTAAAAAAATGAACTTGCAGTTTAAATTTAGATATATCCTTGTGTCATGTGATCGGTGTCAGTAGTAAATCAAATGTATCTGGGATTACTTTTATAAATGAGATCCAAATCTGTCTAAACATAAATGTATTCATCTATCCATCTATTATCTTCTGCTTGTTCCGGAGTCGGGTCACGGGGCCAGCAGCTTGAGCAGGGAGGCCCAGACATCTCTTTCCACAGCCACACACATTTTGTGTTGTATTTGTACCTAAAAGTAAAACCTTAGCATTAACTGTTGGAATCAACCTTGTCCATCTGTTAGCAAAATATCCCTTGAACCACAAGATGGGATTTTAATGAAACTCCCCAAAACTAATCAGTAGATGTACATCTAGAACTGATTAAACATGGCTGCCTCAGCTGATAGGCCACAGAGCTGTAGTTTGATAAATTTACAGATGCTGACCTTAAAAAGGTAGCATTATTATAAAAATCTGAGCAAAATCACAATCTCTTTGTCATTCCTCAATGTAAGATTATATCAGTTTCATGAAAGGTGATCCTTTTTCCCCTCATTTGTCTGGATCCCCGTCTCCAAACCAAGAGCAGAGCAACGTCTATTTTAGTTTCAGGAGGAAAATCCACAGCTGAGGGGAGCAAATCCTCTCAGTGACAGATGATTCCTCTAAATGTGTGGCCCCTGTGCAGAATAAACTGACCTCTGTCAGTGGCCCTCTCAGAGGGCCCTCCTCAGATTATAATCTCAGCCTCCCTCTACTTGGCCATGGCCTCTGAGCGAACCCGTCGGTCTGCCTCTGCGAAGGTCACTCCTCCAAAGAGCTGGAGGAGTTTGGATGTCAGCCAGAAGAGCTGTGGGAAGAGGAGGGAGTGGAAAACTGACAATGGAGATGGTCGTCTGCTGGAGGCGACTCTGACGTCAGCTCGTCCAGTTAAAGGTCACAAGAGACACAGAGAGGACAGCTCCATCCCATAATAACCTCCTCACCTCTGCTGACCGTGAGGCTGAAACTGAGGTCAGGAAAACAAAACAGAATTCAAGTACTCAAACCTCATAAACCCACATTTTATTCCCAAGTCACCAAATTAAACATTTAACCAATTAACTACACAATTTTAAAAGCGTAGGTCATTTTGACGCTCATGGCAGCGACGCATCTCAACAGTAGTTCCAGGCCGTGTTTAGCTGAAAGATGAATAAAATGGACTTTTAAGTGCATTATTTATTCAATTTAAAGTAAAATTATACAATAAAGTAGCCATAATGATACAATCATTATTCTCATTCCCAACAGGATGCAATGAGAATCTATCTTTCAGCTGCTCCATCTTCAGGGCTCGCTACAACAAGTCATCCTCTGTCCTCATCCAGCTACCTCCAAGTCTTATAACTGCATCCATAAATCTCCTCTTATGTCTTTTTGAGAATTATTTGCCATTCTATTTCTTAAATGCGACCCCAGATGAACCATTTGAGGTCGACCAGCAGGAGAAGTGACTTTGTAAAACTGCTGCAGCCGCATCCTGTTGGATCTTTCACTCCTCGCTGGCTCAGGGGATGCTGCCATCACCGGAGTGTTCACCATCAAAGCGTGACACCCAGTTCCTCGGGGAGCGTTGCCCCATGAAACAGCCCATCACAGGTGTCGGAGGAGGCGCACCGGTGCCTCTGCAGAGGGTGTGAAAGTAACACTAGAGATTAATTTTTCTATGTGGGCAACTATGGGGTGTAATTTGTAAAGTTACAGTCAAAAATTAACAGAAATATTTTGGTTTATTTAGCCTTTCATAAAAAAAGGAAACATTTTTATTTTCAAAGTCATATTTTCACCATGTTATTCATACATTTATAAATGTCATAGTTCCAAACTAAATATTTCATTTACAAGCTAAATATTTAGTTTACAAACTAAATACTTAATTGTAAGTTAAATATTTAGCTAGTTAACTAAATATTTGGATGTAAATTAAATATTTAATTTCGAAGCTAAATACTTATATTCAAAACTAAACATTTAATTTCCAAACTAAATATTTATTGTCCAAGCTAAATATTTAATTTCCTAACAAAACATTTAATTTCTAAGCTAAACATTTAAACTAAGCTTAACTAAATACTGGACTGGGAACGCCTTGGGATTCCCCCAGAGGAGCTGGCCCAAGTGGCTGGGGAGAGGAAAGTCTGGGCCTCCCTAAACTGCTACCCCCCGCGACCTGACCCTGGATAAGCGGAAGAAAATGGATGGATAAACTAAATACTTAACTTGCAAGTTGAATATTTAGTTAGGTCTAAATTAAACATTTAATTTCCAAAATAAATATTTAATTTGCTAAAGAACATGGGCACCGGCGACCTCTGTGACCCAAAATGGAATAAGCGGGTAAAGATAATGGATGGATGGTTTTAAATGTTTGGCTTAGAAATTAAAAGTTAATTTGGGAAATTAAATATTTAGCTTGGAAATTAAATATTTAATTTACATCTAAATATTTAGTTTACTAACTAAATAATTAACTTGCAAGTTAAGTATTTAGTACATAAATATTTAGCCTTGTAAATTAAAATATTTAATTTCCAAGCTAAATATTAAATTTCCAAACTGAATATATATTGTCCAAGCTAAATATTTAAGTTGCTAACTAACTATTTAGTTAGCAAATTAAATATTTAGTTTAGGAATAAAATGGTTAGCATAGAAATTAAATGCTTAGTTTGTCATTTTAATTAACAACTAAATATTTATCCTGATGCATGCTCAATAATCCAGGTAGAAAAATCCAAAAAAGTTCAATCTGGTCCTCTGGACATTCAAAAAAAACAAAAAACAAACAAAGCAAAAAAATGTAGAAACGTTTCGTCTCTCATCCGAGAGACTTCCTGAGTCTGAGGTGCTGTTTTCAGCTCAGTCTCTTAAATAGCACCTTCTCAGGGTGGATCAACCAGTTTTGCTGCTGACAACCAAAACCAGCTGATCACATGCTCAAGAAGGACCAACAGCCTAACAATGGATCATTAGCACACTGATGGCTGTTTACTGTTCACAGAGGGCTGAGTGATACTAGCAATCACAGCATTGTAAGAGGGGGACAGTTGAACCCGGAGGCCTCCACCCCTGTTTAATGATGGACGATTTCTTTTCACAAAGATGGTCTCCTTTACTCCTCTCTCAAACCATCGTTCCTCTCTATCAAGGATGTGAACATCTTCATCCCTGAAAGAGTGACCGCTGGCCTGGAGATGAGTGTAGACTGCAGAATCCTGGCCTGATGATGTTGATCTTCTGTGCTGGTCCATCCTTTTGGCCAGTGGCTGTTTAGTTTCCCCGATGTAAAACTGATCACCCTCCTGACACTGAACAGCATACACAACATTGCTCTGTTTGTGCCGGGGGACTGGATCTTTGGGATGAACCAGTCTTTGCCGTAATGTATTTTGGGGTTTAAAAGCCACTGGGACGTTATGTTTAGAAAATAAACGTCTCAGTTTCTCTGATACTCCCTCAACATACGGAATGACTACTGGTCTGGGTCTGGGTTCCTCCTTTTCACCTGATGGCTGACTGGAGTCCTGTTTGGGTTTCTTCTCTGCTTTCAGGAAGGCCCAGTTAGGATATCCACATTGCTCTAGAGCCTGTCTTGTGTGGGATTTCTCCTTCTGCCTGGCTCCTGAGCTAGTGGGGACGCTGTCTGCTCTGTGGTACAGAGTCCTGATGACTCCTAACTTGTGCTCCAAAGGGTGATGGGAGTCAAACTGCAAATACTGGTCTGTGTGGGTGGGTTTGCGGTACACCTCAGTTTGCAAATGTCCTCTATCAGAGATTGAGACCTCACAGTCCAAGAAAGCCAACTTGCCATTTTTTACATCTTCTCGTGTGAACTTGATGTATTTATCCACAGAGTTGATGTGGTCAGTAAAATGTTGGACTTCCTGAGATTTGATTTTAACCCGGGTGTCGTCAACGTACCTGAACCAATGACTTGGTGGTGTCCCTGAAAAGGACGTCAAGGCTCTCTTTTCTACCTCCTCCATGTACAGGTTGGCAACAATAGGAGAAACTGGAGACCCCATAGCACACCCATGTTTCTGCCTATAATATTGCTCCCCATATGTGAAGTAGGTTGACTGCAGGCAGTTTCAAGAGTTGACACAGTTGTTCTGTGGAAAGCGTGGTCCTGCTGCTCAGAGTGGTGTCTGATTTTAATTTTAAACTGACCACCTCTACTGCATCATCACCAGGAATGCACGTAAAGAGTGATGTGACATCAAAAGAGACCATTGTTTCATCAGTCTCCATGATGACATCCCTCACCTTATCCACAAAGCCCATGGTGTTCTGTATGTGGTGTTCTGAGCTGCCAACTAAAGGGATGAGTACAGACACCAGATATTTGGAAACATTGTAAGTGACAGAGTTAATCATGCTAACAATAGGTCGTAAAGGCACACCTTGTTTGTGGAACTAAATATTTAGTTTATTAACTAAATATTTAACTTACAAGTGGAACTATGACATTTATAAATGCATGAATAACATGGTGAAAATGACTTTGAAAAAAACCCCCATCTTTTTTAAATTAAAGGCTAAATAAACCAAAAATATTGCTGTTAACTTTTGACTGTGTAACTTTACTGCAGCCCATAGACGACCTCGTTCACCCGCTCTGTTAACACACTGAGGTGAACTCAAGTTAGCCCGTTGGTGTTTTTGGTGAAGCTCAGTGAATATTTAATCCCGTTTTCCAGCTCACTTCCTGCTCAGCTTCCATTCTTGTTATGCTCAAAGCGCGTGGCTTTTCCTGCAAACCTGACGCTTCACCGTCGGCCAGAGTTTCTGTTTATTCTGTGAATCAAACAATTTCAGTGCAGACTGGCAGGTCAGGGTGTTGATTATTCAATTCCTGTCAGAGCTGTAATCACTGGAGGCCGGCTGTTTTCACAAAAACCCAATTTATATTTGACCACGGCTCATTTACAGGTTTTTAAAAAAAAAAACTTTTTTATAGACACTCTAGTTTGAGCACAACAAACCAGACTAGATCTTTGTGTGAAACATTAGCCTGCAAAAACAGAATGAAAAATAAATAGTAATAAAAAGACGCACGCTGTTAGGATCTTCATGTTTTATTCCAGCACAAGTTTTTTTGTGTTGTAAAATGGCTGTGTAGCTAGGACTTAAAGGAGAAGTACAAAATGGAAACAAACAAACAAAAACAAAAAAATAGACAGATCCAGTACAACATGTTTAAATCCTCATTGTGTTCATTTCCTAAAAACCACAGCTAGGAGAAGAGAACATTATTTCCCTGCCTTCTTTGGAACCATGATTAAAACCTAAAAAAACCAACCAAACAAACAATAAAGATGTTTTATTTCAGGTCGCTCTAACAACGAAGGGGGAATCTGAAAAAGACACTTTATGACACATTTACAGTCTGATTCAAAACGTTCTCACCTACCAGGTCAGGTAGCCCTTTCTTTGTAGATCACACAGTTTTTACCACCAGTGGCACAGCAGGAGGGCAGCAGCTAATGGCATCTTTACATCGTAAGGCCCGGCCCGGGTTCAAACTCAGGTTCTGCGTATTTGCTGCCCACTTGCAGCCTGATCCTTATAACCCAGAGACCTGGGGTCCATTCAGGCTGGACTGTTGTTATCTAATCTTTTCAGCACTCTGGCTTCTCTCACTGTCTTTGCTGCTCTTGAATTATATAGAGAACAAAGAGAAGTACTAAATACTGTAAATACTGTAAAAATTGTGCACGACAAGGAAAAAAGCAACGCCATTTTGTAGTTTTTTCTCAATATGCCTACAATGTATCACCAATCTAAAGGACTACATTACCCAGAAGGCAGTTACTTTCTGCTGGAGGGAAAGTTTTGATCCGATCCGAACGGTTCTTACAGTACTCATAGTGACTTCAGCGCTCAGTGGACGCAGAGAGCCGATCAGAACCGGACCAGAACAGGATCAAGGCTGAGTGGATCTGCGGAACCGGAACCGAGCCGTGTGTTCTGCAGAGCCGGTGTGTAAAAAGTTATTACTGCTCACTCAAATTAAAATGTTAAGTAAATCAACATTATCAAGTTATCTTGATTAAAAAACTCTTGCTAAATAAACTTTTGCGTTAGTTTAGTTAAATTTATTAGTTGACTGAACTGTTTTGGTTTGTTGGTTCAACTCAGAAATCGATGGCATTTCTACTTCGTGGTTTTGCACTTATTGCTGATTGGGGGGGATGTCCGGAACGTAACCCCCCGCGATAAACGAGGGACTACTGTAATATGATATCATGCATTTTTTTGATGTAATGATCCCGCCCACATCGAGGCGGCACTCGGCTCAAAGCAAACAGCTGTGGTCGGGGGTAGACTACGGCAGGCCCTGCGGCCGGGCCGGGCCTTACGATGCAAAGATGCCATAAAAATGCACCTTTTTTTGCATTAGTCTGACAATGATATATCTACTGTTCCTCTAAAATTTTCATGATTAAAGCAGGCTTATATAAGATACAAATTTATGACCTCAAAACCCCGTCTATGACTACTTTCCTCAACACATTGAAATCCTTTTATCTTTTTGTTAAAAAAAAACACCAAACCCAAATGTGCCAAGAGGGAATGCGAGGAACCAGCGTTATTCAAGATAAGGCTCGAGAGTTCAATCTGTATTTAAAAAGTTTGCCACTGCGCACATGGAGCAACAGCAGCCATAACCTCCTCATAAAACAACACAATCAAACAAAAAAAGAGGGTAATACTGAAAAGTGAAGGTAAAACCCCTTTGTTTTTCCATCTCCCCCCCAGAAAACATTCATATTCCTAAATAATTTCTTAAAAAACTTAATGAAATGATCAGACCCCGACAAAAAAAAAAAAAAAAAAAAAGGGTAGACGCTGCAGTCATCGCCAACATTTTCTCAACTTGGTTATGTACAAGGTTTAAACATAGCAACGACACTGAGAAACAACAGTTTGTGTCATCTAAAATGAAATAAAACACTCGACCACTGGAGGTGAACCTGCTCTCAAAAGTGTGACGTCACAGAGCAACACGACATGAGTCATATCTATAAAAAAAATGAGGGTTAAAGACGACCACGCACACTCACTTAGGCAGGTTATGCTGTAAATTTACAGTTATGACACCTATAACTCTGTATGCCAAAACCTCTGGAGTCGATTGCTGAACGTTGGGAGGTGTGGGGGGGTTTAGCTTCCTATAAAACAAACAGAAAAAGTCTTTTCCCACCGCCAGCAATAAGCATATGGCTTAAGTATTTGTAAAACTGTAGTCCAGGAGGCGAGAGTCTCTGCTTTGTCAATCTGCCTCGCTAAAAACGACCCTCGGGATGGAAATCTAATCTGATCGGCACACGACTTTATTTTTATACCCACAATTTATTTTTTAGACTAGATTTCTTTGTTTTTTCACATTTATATATATATATATATATATCTTTTTAAATCGTTGTTATCGTCTTAGAAAACGATCCTTACTCAAGCGATGCATCCACTCAGCGAGGTCTCTAGCACAAACATGGTCCCCCACCTTTTGTCCCCCCCCCCTAGCAAACTCACAATACGGCCACAAAAGACAAGGCGGACGGACACGGTCCCGACGATGAGGAGACCGAAGTAAAACAATAAAAACGAACAACAACAAATACGATGGCCGTTGTTGTGAAGATATGCGGGTTGAGAAAAGAAAAGAAGTGAAAACAACAGCTACCATTTTATTATTATTTTTTTAGTCTTTCCTGGGGGGCGGGGAGCAGTCAGGGCAGTATGGATCTTTAGTGCAATGAAGGCCGGAGCGAGCGGCGAGGTTTGTCGCACGCCGCTTGCTCTGGAAGGTGTAGCCAAGCTGGCTCATAAACCGACTGAAGGAGAGGTCCG